TACATTTTGGTCTACAAAATGTAATTTTAATTAAGCCATATTAGTTGTAGAGTTATCTTAATATAGCAAGCCAATATTGAATTTCCAGACAAAACATTTTAAAGCTGTGTTCAGTCTGAGAAAACAGAGCAAATAAAGGGTAAAGAAACCTTACAAGATGGTGGCAATTAGTAGGAAAAGCATTCTTAAAATCCCCCAGGCTTTAACATTTGGGTTAAAAGTAACCCAAATATCTCAACTGATGGTGATGAGTTTTTGTATGAGAAAGTTGCTGCAGATGGAAATTGAATTCTTACCTTCCAAAAAGACCTTAAAAAAATCTAGAAAGCAGTTTCTAATTTGACTGCTAATTCCAGCAAGAAATAGACTAGAGATTTTATTTTTACGTGGCAGCTTGGGTTGTCATTCAACATCCTTTGCCAATACGCTCCAGCCCAAAAGGACCATTATGATGTTGCTAATTTGAGAAGCTATTCAGTTGCAAATAAGCTCTTCCCATCTCCAAAACGATTCCATGTAGTAGGATCTTATTAAAATCACCTTTGAGTTTTTTATGACTAGAAACAGACATTGGCAAATGAAGCGGATCAGCTGCGGGACAACAGGGAATGTGTTTTCCTGGGGCTTGAGGGGCCGGTCCCGAGTACCCCGGGAATTCCCATGTAGAACTGGGCACCTCGAACCCTTTGAGCACCTGCCTGGTTTCCCTGGGTTAGGGAGACATGTCCCTGTGATCTCTGAGGCACATCTGGGTAGGTGAGGGAGGCCAGGCAGGGTCTCTCAGAGTTTGAGGGGCCTGGCACTACGCAGGAATTCCTGGGATTCATAGGATCAGGCCCATCAAGCCTTTTGAGTCTCTATCCAGGGTGGATGGAGAGCACAGACAGCTTCAGGCTGTCTGCACTCTCACGCTATAAAGCAAATAGTCATCTGCTGCTATAAAAAGGCACAATTTATTACTACCTTCTGTCACGGCCACATATTTGGGCATTTGCGGTGAGACGAGAGAGATGGGCGTCTATTTGTTTTCATTTTGTGCCACCATAAAAAAGGCTTTCCTACCCTAATGTGTAAACCTCTTGTTACTGGCAGTACAACAGACCTGTGTTTTTTGGAAAAGCAATACATCTTCTAGGATACAAAAAGTCTGTGAGAATCAAGTACAAGAAGCTTGGCTGCCAGCCAGAGACCTTTTCAGTACTTCCTGCTTCAACTGAGCAGTGCCATCACCTGCATTTCAGCTTTGTACCAACTCAAATAACTGGTCTTCCCTGTCATGCTTACACAGGGGCTGTCATAATTATGAAACAAACTTTGTACCTATGCTGACAGCCTGCACAATCTATTATTTCCTGTAAAATATCAGACATCTCTCACATGGGAATAGAATTGCATAGGATGTCGTTCTGGCAAAAAACATTAATTTCATAGATGATAGGGTTGGAAGGAACCTATTAGATCGAGTCCGACCCCCTGCCCTGGGCAGGAAAG